CCGCGTCCCGGCGCTGCGGGGCGACCCGAGGACCTCCCCGGCTCGTGGGATTCGGGGAAGAGCCTTCCTCGCGTGACTGACGCAGCGAGGCGGCGACCCTGTGCGGGGTGCTGTGGTGGGCGAGGGTTCCTGGGGCGTGGGCGGTCCCGTCCCTGGCCGAGGATTTGCACTTGCAGTTGGCGGCGGACGGGGCGAGGCGGGCCGGGTCCGAGGAGCCGGCGGAGAGCGCGCAGCCCTTCCCGGGAGCCGCGCTTTGCCGGGTGCGGGGGGATTGCCGGGTGGGACTTGCACGTTTCCCGCCGGGCAGGCTTTGGAGGGGTCTCAGCCTCCGATTTTCCCTGTCAAAGAGGCTTGTCTGAAGTTGGAGGTCGAGGCGTACGTTTCTGCGCTTGTGGCTGGCAAGGTGAGCCAGGTTTTCCCAAAGCGGTCGTTTTCATTTTCCAAGTCAGCTCACAGCAGGAAGGGCTGGGCAGTGAATGGAAAGCACACCCAGGTTCTGGTTAGCTAAGCGTCAGGACTGCCATAAAGGCCTTTTTTGGTGGGTCTGAAACACCAAAATCTGGGGCCTTGGGCCATGAGGAGTTGAGTTCTTGCTCGGTTTTAGCTGCTGGAGTGAGAAGTGTTTCAGACACTGTTAAAATTAGGCAGCTCAGTTTAGCTCTAGCTCACTGATCACCAACCATTTCTTCACCCTTTTTGGTAACTGGGTTAAAAAGAAAAGACAAGGAGAGAAGAGATCTTCATGCTTCTCCCCCGTTAAGATGGAATTTAAAGATGGGAAAAGCTTTCATCCTGAAGAATAGAATCTCAAAGAAAGACCTGAGAGGAAAATGCTTTCCTTTCCTTACGTAAAAACTGGACAAAGAAAGGAAAGAATTAGTAAGTATCATGGACAACTTACAGTTATATTCAGATCATTTTCAAATGCTTGAAGAGGTTATACAATAAAAAGGTGGGAAAGAGCCAGAAATAGAAACAGAGGAGAGGGTGAAGTCGGGACCTTCAAGATTGCAGGATTCAAGGAGTTCGTTTTCTTCTTAGACAGGTCTGGAAAAATCTGGGTGTGAGTACAGTCTTGCGCTATATAACAATGTTGGGTCAGTGACAGACCACCTCTACAATGGTGGTCCCGTAAGGTTATAATACCTTATTTTTGCTCTACCTTTTCTATGTTTAGATGCACAAATACTTACCATTGGGTTATAGTTGCCTACAGTATTTCAGTACAATCACATGCGGTATAGGTTTGTAGCCTACGACAATAGGCTGTACCATATAGCCTAGGTGTGTAGTAGGCTAAACCATCTAGGTTTGTGCAGGTATACTCTGATGTTTGCACAAGGTCCTCACCTGATGGTGCCTTTCTCATAAGGTATCCCAGTCCATTAAGCGACGCATGACTGGAGGTAAAGCTTAATCTTTCTATCTGTATTACAGACAATTGCTTTTAATTTTAGCATTTAGTTCTGAGAATAAAGGGAAGCACAGCTAGACCATGCTGCATGAATCCCAGTGAGCTTGGGCTATGCTGTATGCTAAATGAGTTGTACAGGTATTTTGCTTCCGAAATCTAAATGCATAATCTCTAATTCCGGGAATTTAGCTTGTTGCCAGTTATTCATTCATTTGTGACATTTGGCTAGAATTTGCCAGGTGCTAAATGTTGAAGGAATGTAAACCCAGAGAACACTGCACTGGAAAAATAATCTTATATAGGAGTCCTTTTCCCATATCAACTATGTAAAACATGTATAATTGGACTTGACGAATTTTGCTACAGAAAATTTTTGTTTTTCACACTAAATTACATGGAAGAGTCTTTTAAACAGCTAGCTCTTTTGGTACATTTAGAATATGTAGTCATTTACCAAGAAATCCAAATATAACCTAAGAGAACTGTTTTATAAAATATACTTGAATAATCCAAGCAGGTAACTATTTCTCAAGTACAAACTAAGTTCTGTTAAGTAGTTGATCTGATAACTTTTAATGATGCTTATTGTTTTTAAATTATCTTATACAGTGACAAGAGAAACTGAGAACTCCAGTCAGGGCAAATACAGCAAGGAAATGTGAACCCCAGGCCTCAGAAGGTGCGTGAAGGAGATGTGAGCTCACTAGGTATGTGCCTTTCTTTTTTTTTTTTTGAGTTGGAGCCTCACTCTGTCGACCAGGCTGGAGTGCAGTGGCACGCTCATGGCCACCCCAGCGTCGGACCTGTTGGGTTCCAGCGATCCTTCTGCCTCAGCCTTCCAAGTAGCTGGAGATACAGGCGCGTGCTACCACGCCCGGCTAATTTTTTGATTTATTGTAGAGACGAGGTCTCGCCATGTTGCCCGGGCTGGTGCCTTTCATTACTGTTTCTGCCTCCTTTCTTGCTTGTACAGAGATTTTAGGGAACTTAAAACTCTTGAGTAGTAGTAAGAGTGTCTATACTTAGACATACTTCCTTAAATATCATAGGAATACACTCCCAAGCTGGGATTATGTGAGTTAGTACTGCTAATACCTGTGCCTGGCACACAGTGAATTTCATACAGGTGTTTGCTATATGTTATTATTATTATTATTGCTTATGAGACTTAACCGCAGATGTATTCCTTACTGGACAGAATTAGCAGAATTCTGCTAAGTATGATTAATCATTCCAAGGCGGTAAATTCTATGGATGACAGCAGAGAAGACAAAGGAAATATCCTAACTTAGATTGAGAGAAACCCTCACTATATGAATTTAAAAATCTCAGTGACCGCTGGGCACGGTGGCTCACACTTGTGATCCCAGCACTTTGGGAGGCTGAGGCAGGAGAAACCAAGAGTTTGAGACCAGCCTGGGTAACACAGCGAGACTCTCGTCTCTAGAAAAAATTAGCCAGGTGAGGTGGCGTGCACCTGTAGTACCAGCTACTAAGGAGGCTGAGATGGAAGGATCGCCTGAGGCCTGGAGGTCCAAGACTGTGGTGAGCAGTGATCATGCCACTATGCTCTAGCCTGGGCAACAGAGTGATACCCTGACTCAAAAAACAAACAAAAAACACCTCAGTGGCATGCAATAGAACTTTATCTATAGTGTAAATTCATATGCCATATTTTGCCATGTTAAGGAGTAACTTCATAATTCTATTGATCGTATAATACATTATAGTTCAAAAAGTATGGCAGGGTTGATGGTCCAGCCCTGGGCTGTCTAGCTCCTTTCTCTCCTGCAGTCGTCCCAGGGTTACCGGTTCTTTGTACATTGCCAAGTTTATTTCATGACGTTTTCTTTAGTACCTGAGTGTGTTTTAAAAGTTGAGCCCTGGGTCGGGGGGAGAGGGGTGGTAATGGAGGTAGAGATCGGAGATTTCTAGCATGGAACACTGGCTTCCTTGCCACTTTTGGAATTCTGGGACCCAGGCCATGTCTTTGTCCAGGGGTCTGCAGGGTTTGCTCCCTCACCTTTTTCCACATCTCAATATCATCCTGTACCCTTCTTTATCGTTAGCCATTGCGTTTGTCACCTGGCTTGATTGCATGCAGCAATTGCTCTGTTCGCTTATGGCCTGCCTATGTCTGTTAAAATGGAGCACCGTGAGAGCAGGGTATATGTGTTGCTGTATTCCCAGGGGCTAGAACAGCCTGGCTCAGAGAAGGGCTTTGGTACATGCTCCCAAATGAATGTCTGGAAAAAGGCTGTTTAAACTGAGTTAAGGGGTTAAATGGGCTTATTTACCATGAGGCTTTTCAGAACCTTTAAAAAGCGAATGTGCAAATTAAAAGTAGGGCGTGACAGGTGGGAGTCTGACTCTTCAGCAGAGTAAGGAAGGCTTTGTGCTTCTGAAAGACAATTCAAAGGCCACCGCTGTAGAAAAAGTGCTGGCAGGAATGTTATTGGCAGCTGAACAAAATGAATTTACAAGCCTCTTTTTTAAAATGCAGAGGAGGCAGGATTTGCATCAAAAGATGGTAATGGTAGCATGCCCATTGTTTGTAAAATGAGTGGGTTTTTTCTGTTTTTTGAGTCGGAGTCTCACTCTGTTGCCCAGGCTGGAGTGCAGCAGCACACTCGTGGCCACTGCAGCCTCAACCTGCTGGACTCGGGCGATCCTTCCCCCGCAGCCTTCCAAGTAGCTGGAACCACAAATGCGTGCCACCGTGCCTGGCTAATTTTTTGAATTATTGTAGAGACTAGGTCTTGGCAAGTTGCCCAGGCTGGTCTCGAACTCCTAGGCTCAGACAATCTTCTTGCCTCCACCTCCCAAAGCGTTAGGGTTACTGGCGTGAGCCACCATGCCTGGCTTGCGCTGTTTTATTTTAGAGAGAGAGGAGGAAAGAGAAAGATCAGAGCTTCTTAATGGTTCAGTTATGCTCCTTCTTCCCTTCCCTTGCTTTCCCCTTAAGGTCTTATGTTCCTTAACTCCCATTTCTGCCTTGTGGGTTTTCAAAGATCCCACCCTCTGGCTTGGTTTCAGATCCTGACATCTTGGCACATGGAAATTCCACCTGATGACTGAAGTAGGAAAGCTCTGAAGATGGATGTGTGGCTTCCTGGGAGGCTGGGGGACTCTGTTCTGGCAGCACACCGTGACTTGAGGGGGTGGGGAGGGGACTTCCTACCACCATTAGCTGTAAGAGGCACAGAGGGAGTTGCCTTCCAACAAAGGGGAGTTAATTACAGAGAATGTCAGGCTTTTTAAAGGCCACTTGTCACCTGACTGTAGGGAGAGTGGCAGCCCTTAGCAGAGCCCCAAGAAAGGACTCTCATGTCCACAGACCCAGTACCCTTGCACACAGAAGTAGTAAGCTTTGATGGTGTCATTTGAACAGGAGGCAAACCCCGTGGCAACTCTCTGTATTTAGGGAAATTGCAGAGAATAGGGCAGCCTCACAGGAGTGGGGCTAGGTGAATTTGGAATGCCCTTTCTTTTTGTTTAAAAAAATGTGGCAGATTATCGTGCTTTTTTCCCAAGGTCTGACAAATCCCAATTGTACAGAGTCTAGGTACCCATAGGTGGAGGTCTGGGAAAGAGTGAGATCAGAGCAGTGATGGAAGAAGGCCTTAGATTCTAATTAAACCTCTCTACGCTGTTTATTCAGAACACATGTAATTCAAAGCGTCAATAGATTCTCGTTGACTAGATGCTTTTTTGCTGCCAGATTTCCTTCTTCAGATGGAAAGAGGCGATTGGAGAATGGCAATTATGCTAGAAAGCCTAGAATCTGCATTTTAACAAGATCCCCAGGGGGACTCATGTTGGTACTGAAATTTGAGAAGAGCTGGGACCTGGACCAGCAGTTCAGTCTTGGCTGCTCATTAGAATCCTGAGCAGAGTTTTTAAAAAGTGCCTAGGTGGCTCCTCCAGAGATTTGTGTTGTCTTGGCTGAGCTGTTCCTGGGGCCCAGGGTATTGCTATATTTCTTAAAAGCTTCCCGGGTTGTCCAGTAAGGGCTGGGACCCACTGCCCTAGACATAAAGCCAGACACCAAGAGATTCAGAACACGTGTAATCTCAAAGTGGCTTACACCATGGTTAGCTGGACACCGTCTTAGGATTCATCAAAACCCAGACCAAATATTATGGGTCCTCCTAGTTCATTCCACATAGGTGTTGATGTGTTCCCATGGAGCGCCTAGCAGGATTTGCTTGTGCCTGATTAGAATGCTGCTTCCTCGAGGAATGAAAATGAACTTGAGACCCGGCCAGTTGCTGAGTGACATTTGCTCCTTGCATCTGTGACTCTGCTCCCAGAGAAATTGTTTCAAAATTTAAATCAGATCATGACACCGCCGCCTTTGTTTTCATGTAAAGCTTTCTTCAGTGGCTTCTCCTGTTTGCAAGGGGGAAGAAGACTCAGTTCCCTGACAACTCTGTGAGGCCTTGTGTTGTCTGGCTGTGCTGCTGAAACTCCTGCCACAAGGGTCTTGCGTAGTTACCCAGGGGCCTGTCTCCTTCACCCCTTGGTAACTGTGCTGGCTTTGACCTCGCTGCCCAGAGCAAGTCCCCTGGTATTCCCTTCTCACAGCACCATTACCTCTTCTCAGATAGATCCTTTGTCTTGTGGGTCTCTCTGTTAGACTCCAAGCTCTGTAAGGACAACTGCATGTGTGTGTGCTTGCGTGTGTGCGTGCGTGCGTGTGTGTGTGTGTGTGTGCGCACCTACTCATGTCTGAGGGTTGTGTGTTTTAAGCTGTAGAGCTACTGGACCCAAGGGGAGTGGGTACTTTGAGAGGGACCAGGCTGCGGTCGTTCTGGTTCTGGTTGGCTCCCATAGGATGTAACTTGAACAAGCCCCAGTTTGTCTAAATTTTTAACCCAATCACCTTTACAGCTTTTTCACTTGAGTTGGCATATACATTTTTTTTTTCTGAGTTGGAGTCTCACTCTGTCACCCAGACTGGAGTGCAGTGGCCGCTCCTGGCCACCGCAGCCTCGACCTGCTGGGCTCCGGCAATCCTTCCACCTCGGCCTTCCATGTAGCTGGAACTACAGGCGCACGCTACCACGCCCGGCTGATTTTTTGATTTATTGTAGAGATGAGGTCTCGCCAAGTTGCCCAGGCGGGTCTCAGACCCACACACTCAGGCAATCCACTCACCTCAGCCTCCCAAAGTACGGGACTACATACTGAGCCACCGAACCCGACTGAGTTGACATAATTTGTGAATCTTCTCATTATAGAGCAGTAAAAAAAAAGTTAAATGCTTAAATATTGTGCTTCCTTCCCTGCCCCCACACCATTCCCCCATCATCATGGGCCTCTCTAAAAGCAGGCACATGTGTTAGTGATTCCTTGAGGCCTGAGACTCATCTTCCCCAATCCTGCCTTTACCTGGGCAGGAAAGACCACCTTCCTGCTGTACTTCAGAAGAGTTGTATCTGATGTAGTAAAAGTATAGTCACTTAGATGAGGGGAGGGAGAAGTAGGGTCAGGCAGGGGCATGGGGGGTTCCAGCCATATTTATAACATTGCATTTCTTTTTTAAAAAGAAACTCCGAGCCGGGCTTGGTGGCTCAGCCTGTAATCCCGCGCCTTTGGGAGGCTGAGGTGAGTGGATTGCCTGAGCCCGCGGGTTCGAGACCCGCCTGGGCAGTGAGACCTCATCTCTACAATAAA